TCTTTGGGATACATCAAAAGATGTGCCTTCCAGCACGGATGCTCAAGCAGCGCTCTGACATTACGACTTGTAGGCGATTGATTGTGTTTCCCGGGTTTCGGAGTTTTCTTCGCGCCATACTTGTCTTCCGGCTCTGCCTAGCACTCTTTGTTCGACCATGGCTACCGTCGCCATGTCGATTGTACCCGTGCTAGCTGCTACCGTCTCTGAGGTTTGGAGCAGGCCGGTATTTTCGAACCCACAACAGCACCTTACCTAACGAGCCGGGTGATGACAAACAGTCGCTCCATCCCAACTGTGGCGACAGTACGAAAATGGGCAAGGCTCCCCGTACTGCTGCGAGCACGACCGACCACTAGCGTCACTAGTGCCACGGAGATGCACCAGTCATGAACTCTAAGCCCCGCGGCCCTAAGCCCCAACCCCAAAGCCAATTCACTGATGCACCCTTTATTCTAGCTGGGACTCAGGTAGATTTCCAGAATTATGAACCCTAAACCCCCCCCAAGCCGACAAACCGCTTGGAGTCCTTTACTGCAGGGCCGTTGCAAGGCCAGGCCTGCGTCTCCGTCCAGGAGATGGCACCGGGGGAGAAGCTGGTAGAGCCGAAGTTACCAGCATCTACCTTGTGAGGGTCTTCTTGTGTAACGAATGTGGAAGAAGGTCCTAAGTGCTAGGTGTCTTGAGTTCAAGGTGGAGCACTCTGTTTAAGGTATATTGGGGCCTTTGGGAGGACGCAAAGAGACTACAGGTACCCACCAAAGGCTTGTGGGCTAGCTGTGTGGCAGAAGTACAGACGACACCACAAGCTGTCACAAATTCAAAGATATTCACCGAAACCCTAAGCCCTAAGTTCCTCGAATGAGCATCTTTTCAGGTTGGATTTGGCGCCACTTTGCTTGGATTGGAGCTTGTTGCCTCTGGCAGGTCTTCAAGGGCCATCTCCCTTTTCGCAGGTACACGCGTATGTCACGATTTGTTCTGATTACCACGGACTTTCGGACCATCCCATGCAGCATCATTCTTGTATGGGCGCGGGCTGCTCGTTTGTAACCACGTCGGTAGCGACTTTGAGAATGTCAAGGGCTATGATGGTGATGACGATGATGCACGGTTTGGCTGCAATCATTGGTCATAGTGACGGTGGTCAGCTTAATGTTTCAATTGATGCATACTTGCCATAAACACAGCACTTGTGGCAATCTCAATCACCAGCGCCATCAGACTCGTCACCATGGCCAAAACGGCTACAGCCGCCACAGAGAGCTTACCTTCGCAGTTTTGC